TATATATGAATGGTTGATGCTGTAAGTCTGTTAGTTCAGGTAGTAAGGCTGTGTGGTATGGGGAAGACATACAATATAAACTACTGCTTGCAGTTCTGTCAAGCCTTAGGCGAAGCTGGTCAGCTGTGGACGGTCTAATCACACATTGAATCCCTTACCTGTTAGAGCCGGCTCCGTAGACTCTGACAATTGAATGTGCAAGCGTCTGTTATTTATATTATTCTGCGATGGCCCTGTCTGACTTTCCGTTGGGTCAGAGCCCTCTTGCATAGGTGCGCTCTGATTGTCAGTATTAGAAAGCAGGCCAATGAGAAATTTCCCACAGCTCTGAATCTTTTTGCCATCACTGGGCTGAGGATCCTCCCCATTGATGGCTCCCGGGGCATCAGTAGACAAGTCCGTCTGTTTGTCTGGGCTCATCGGCCTGTCTTCTCGCTTTATAGCCTCGACTCGCGGGTGTGGACTGGCTGTTCCCGACGAGACACCCCAAGACGAGCCATAGCCAAGAGTAAGATATTTCACAAATGTCTCTGTCCTGAAGCCTATCCAATCGTTTCCTCGATCGCTCCCTACTGGTGAGCTCTCGCCACTGGTATGTGAGCTCGACTTTTGTGGAGCCTGTGGAGACTCCGCTGTTCCTACCACCAGTGGAGGTGGTATACCTGGAGAAAAAGGGCGATCTGGTGTCGTAGCTTGAGGTTCCGCCACCGTTTGCTTGGTGGGATCGGTTCCAGCTAGTTTGCTGCGGTGCTTTCTTCGCCGCTTCCGACGACGTGGTGAGCTTGGGTCTTCGCCTACTCCGTATGCGTCGGCGCCGTATCTATAGATTGATTCCATCCATTGTGAGATTCGCAAGAGGGATGGCCTAGAGACTGCTCCGACTCCCGAGAATATCACGCCATCTGCCGGCCTAGGGCAGGCTCCCGAGCCAAGCCATCGATCCTCGCCGTCACCTGTGCTTAGCGAATCTCCCGGTCTGCTATTTGCTGCCAGTTCCTTGTCAGAGGAGCCAGGATCACCAAATCGTGAGACAACTAAGTCCATGAGACCATCTGTGCGGGTGACAAAGTCCTCTAAAACCTCCCTCTCCCCGCTTCCCCACTCTTCTTCGCCAACGCCGATTCCGAGTTCCCCCCCAGCGGAGAGCTTGACGCCATTGTATATGTCAACAGCGGGGTTCCCGCTTAGAAGAACCTCCCAGGTCCATGCGAACCTCCACCAGAAATTATCAACAAGAGCACAGAATGTGGGTCTGCCAACACGGCTGTATAAGGCGTCAAGTGTCGAATCGTGGTGGAGAAGAAAGATGGAGTGGGCTCGACGCAGTTGTTGTATTAGCAAAGCAGGAGGAGACATCTCTCTTGAGGAATAGCTGAATGAAGGAGACGAGGCATTGTGCTGAGCGGAAGTTGTGCTAGGTTGATCAAGTGGGAGACGAGTTAGGTCGACAGACTGTAACAAGCTCAGCAGCTATTAATGTGATGCTCTGGCGCAAGTCTACCTACAGCTAGAATCCACCAATCCTTCTCAAGCTCATGTAGAATAATCTGCGACTTTTCGGTTTCGACGTAATCGACTGCTTTTCCTTGCGAAAAGTCCCTAGGATCATTAGTACAGCGCCAGCTGTGGTAGACCGATGTAGAGCGAATCCCACCTGGCAAAGCCTACCATGCCCTGAGCCAGCCCTATCTGTCGCAAGATCTCATTCCAGTAATCGTTGGAGTGTTGGTCGCCATCGTCAGCCGCGGAGCCTTCACGTCGGCGCGATCGACCCGATCGAGATGTATAGAAGACGACTTGGTCGCGGATTGTCTCGTCGGTCGGACCAAGGCGAGGGTTGTATATAGCGAGGAACGACAGTTGCGCAGGAATCACTGACGCTAAATCACTCTCCGGCATTGCACCATCGAACCGTGAGCGCCAGCTCACAGTGAAGCAGTGCAGTTGGGTGAGAAACACTCATCGTCACCAGACGGACTGGAGTAGTGGGCGGCGGTGACATCACGTGGTGGAGATGGGGAAGTCGGCGAACTTGCCGGAGCTGCTGCGGATGCGACTGTTGATTGCTCCGTCACCCGCACATCGCTGCCGTCAATTGCTGGCCATGTTTCTCTTGCGGGGATCTGGAGCTCTCTGTACCTACAGACGAGCCGGTCTTTTCCCATCCTTGTCACATAGATGCCTTGCGACGAAGGCCTACGACCCACTTCGGATTCTCTTTTGCGGATCTGACGATTTCAGCATAGCTTCGTTGAAAGCTCTCCATGAAGAACATGTCAAGCGACCGGATCGGATTGCCTCAATTGATGTCGTTTGCAGACCAGGGAAGAAGGTTGGAAGAGGGCTGAAGCAGATCCGCGAGGGTACTTATCTAGGCAAGCTTGACAGGTTGTTCGCGCAGCTGATTGTTTTTTATCTTGCAGTTCCCATCAAAGCGGCCGCAACGGAGTTGTCGCTTCCAATCCACGAGATTGATACTTTTCGAGGCTGGACGGTAACTCGCAGCTGTTGATACCTGCTATGGCTACGTGCTGACACTGTTAGCCGCCTACGCTACCCGGTGGCCCTATAAACCTGATCATTGCCGTCTCATTTGGACTGTTCGTGCCTCCGCGGCTTCTCAACGGCGCGAAGTATGGAGGTCTAAATGTCCATCCATCGTTGCTTCCCGAGTATGCAGTCGCAGATTACCCACGAACGGACCCCGCTAACACAATACTTGAAGCTTCCGGGGCCCTGCACCACTACATCATACCTTGTTAGCCGGTAAAACTAAGACCGGTGTCACCCTTCAGACGCTTGATCTCAAGCACTTCGATCATGGCACTATCCTGGCGCAGACTCCAGCCCCTGGCTTCGACATTCCCAATCCAGATGCATGCACAGTACCCAATTTATTGAATCTAGTCTGTCCGAAGGGCGCGGATATTCTTGTCAAGGGTATACGGGAAGGTCTTTTTGTTCCCCCGGTGGAAGATGCGGGCTGGCGAGCCTCTGAAGGAGACGGCCCATTGGTCCATGCGGCCAAGATCAAGCCGGAGGACAGGCATATAGATTGGCAAAACTGGTCTTCCCTGGACATCAGCAGAAGGAATCGCGTTTTGGGTCCACTCTGGAGCAAGGCATTGGTTGCCAACAACACTTCCAGTGAAAAACCTTCCTTCCAACACCGGCGAGTTATCTTCACCGATTTTGAAGAAGTAACACCACTCAAAGGCTGCGACAAGTTCTCCGTTGTCCCAGGCTTGCCATTCGTGGATGGCACACATCCCATCGATTCTACAAAGGGAAAGAGCGTTTACGTGTTCACGCGAGATGGGAAGCTCATCAAAGTACACCAGATGAAGGTGGAGGGCGAGCCGAATGCCGATGCTCTTCGCGCTGCTCTGAAGGCTCGGATGGTTGGCGACCGGACATTTTACTCCGGTGAAGTGGGCTATACGCCGTTTTACAACCCTCTTGTGTAGGGGACTGGTGATAAAAGTAATCTGATATGTGTTCTATCTTGCTAACGTCATGATACCAGCTCTAGCACTTAATATTTACGCGTTCTAGTGCCCAATGCCACATCAGAAAGTCTACTTCGCAAGGCTCCACATTTTCTCTATTTGAAGGAGAAGCCGGAGTCTGAAAAGTTAGTTTTGTTGTAGACAACAAAAGCAAGAGCACTCACCGATCTGTATTTCTTGCCCAGTCATAGATGAGTTCTGTGCAAGCATGACATATGCTTGAGCAGCGTCTTCAAGCTCAGGCTGTTCACGACCTCGTTAATAGGCGGAAACCGTGCATGGAGTGGTCAAGAGCCTTACCACTTTCTTAAGGGCTGTCTTTGCCGTCCACCCCTCAATTGCTTGGGTAGGGAAGCGCTGGCCCTATATTTCATCCACATTAGCTCTACTGCGACCAAGCTCCACTACAACTGCGATGGCGCTACTTACCCATTCAGTCAAAAGAAGGCCAGGAAGAACCGCATTCACGCGGACCTTGCTACCTTGAGTGTGTGCAAGGCATTTCACCATGTGCAGACCTGTTGCTGATGTTAACGGGGATGCAAAGCGTTCATTGCGGTTTGCTTACCTCCTGCTTTAGTGATCGCATATGGCAAGCTGCTTCCAGTTGGCGAAACGGCCTATCTTGCAGGTCAACACTTGCGTATCTTACCATGCGACCTTCGTAGAGGACCTACCGCAACAGATGAGGTCAGCAGGAACACGCCACCCTCGGGGTTTGCGTTGAATGTGGGCAGTGCTGCTTTGAAAAGATAGAAATGGCCTTTTACGTTCATTGACCAGCACTGAGGAATTCGTTAGCCTTGCAAATCACGGCGACCCTCTACAGGGTTCACCCCATTGTGACACCTACTCTATCCCATTCCTCGTCATTCATAGCGTCCAAGTCATTGAACTTGGTCATTTTGGTCCAACCCTGGCCATGCATTCAGTCAACTTTCCCCTATTGCTGACACGGACCGGAATAGTAGCGACTCACTGCGTTCGAAACAATGATATCCAGGCCCCCCAACTGATCAATGGTGGTTTTGACAGCGTTAACGCAGTCATTCTGAACACCGGCATCCTAGATGATACAGCCACGATATCAGTCCAGCACTCCGTCAATGACACTCGTCACAACCTACACCTTGTATAGTAATAGCCTTGACCTTGTAACTCTCTTGAAGTTCCGCGGCCAATTGCTCAGCAGCGTCTTTGCTCGAAGCGTAATTGATGGCGACATTGCAACCCTCGGCGGCGTATTTCTGGGCCACCAGAGCACCCAGCCCTCTAAACGTCACATATCGTTAATGAATGCCCCCCAAAAGGTAAACACAGCGGAGCGAAGGAACATACCGTGAGCCGCCCGTGATGAGAGCAACGCGATTGCGCAGAGAATACATGATTATATGGCTAGATAGTTGATTGAATCGTTCGAAGCAGATCTAGCAGAGCTGAGCTGAACTGAGGACACCGAAGTAGTAGATAAGTACTTGACGAAGCGGGGTCAATCGGAGCTTATGTCGGCAGCGCTCATCTAGTTAACTAATGCCTGCTGCGGAACCCTCCGTCCGACTAGTACGTGACTTACGGTCTTTTTGTCTACTTGCAGGGTTGGAGGGAGTGGTGCACCTGCACTAGCTGCGCTTTTTCTACTATGAGGCCCAAGATTGCTGCTGTGGTTTCAGTCTTACTCAGTATAGTGTGTCTGACTGTGGTATTATTATTGTCCAAGAACAATCGGTCTCCAGATCACCCCTGCCAGGTACAATGCAGAAGAAAGAGAGGGGAGTCCAACCTTACTGTTTCCATGTATATTTCGGTTCGGCCCCTCGATGTGGTCCCGCCGCCGACTGATCGCCCGGAGGGTTCGACAGCTTGTTTCTGCCAAGTAACATGGTGAATGACCCGACGGTCTATTTTGAATGTTCAAGGGGTATCATGTATGATATGTCTATAGATACAACAGGCTAAGATCAAATCGCAAGACACCGGAAAGCAATCGAAGTTCTGAAGGCTTGTGGAACCGGAGGTACAACACCGGACACTCAATCCATAAGTGTACCAACGTATTCTGTCTCCTTCATTCCCGGCCACGCCTTCTTCCCTGCTAATGCAGGCCACTGGACTAGAAATCGATCTGCCAGAGGCAACAGGAGCTTCCCCGACAGGCTCAATGTAGTCACGCGAGCCCACGATTCTACGAAGATTGTGCGCAGCTGGTAGGTACCCGGCACTGGCACGGTTGCAGAGCCACTTTCTGATGTTCTTCTTCCGGGTGCAGAAGGAGAAAAGAGCCCGCACAAGAACAGCCATAGACGAAGTAGCCGGGCGGCAACGACGACGCAGACCGCGGTGGCAGGGCCATTGGTGAGAATGAGGTCCGGGTATGGAGGGGATAGATGCGAAGCTGGGCGAGAATGCCGGCTCTGGTCCGGATGAAGACCACGCAAGACCGAGAGACAGGACCAGAAGGAGTTCAGTGTGGAGAAAGGCGCAGTAAGGTAGGATTGGTGTACGCGACGGGCGCGGGGTACCGTGACGATGGTGTAGGAGGGGTCTGGTGATGCGGTTTTGGCATTGAAATTGACATGATGGCTTATATGGGTTGTTTCGAACTCGATGGCTTTGGTTGCGCTGAAATTGTCCCCGGAGCTAACGATGTAGGTTCGATGGGTGTATTTGGACGGATCTAGGTTCATGCGCCGGAGCATAGAGAACATCTCGGCTGTGTGGCCGCCGCTACCGAGGACGACTAGGAGATGAACCGGGAAGTTTCGTGGGCGCCATTTGGGGACTTGGCTGTTTTGTGATTTGGCGAGAGCGTAGATGAGGACCTGAAAGTTATCGAGTAGGTGGATTAGCTTTGGTTGTATATAGGGGAGATGATGTGCAGGGAATTGCTTACAATGAGCGTGAATATGCAGGCTATGGCAGTAAAGCCGATAGCCAGGAAGAGGCTAGTCCAGGATAGCCATGACTCCATGAGACTAAGAGGTTGCTGTATGTCTTGCTTGAGATGAACCGACGATGTGTTATTGAGGATGTGGCAGGTTCCAGAGTTGTCGCAGTTGTCGCAGTTGTCGCATGCGGCCGGCGGAACGAATGAACTTTATGTATATAGTGACAGCGCATTAAAAGGCGGAAACTTCTTCTTCAAACCTTGTCAATCCAGCCCCATAGCTAGTTACGACAATAGCTGGGGAGCAACAAGTGAATGAGGAGTAATTGTTGCGGGGGGCGTTCGATGCTTGGGGATCTATCTGGAAGCTGGCTAACTATCCAGGCACGTGGTCCGTGCTAGTCTCGGCGATTATTTTGGTGTTGTTGTCTTAACTCCTTCCTCTGATTTCACCCCATCGTCCATCCCATTTTCTTATCGTCACCGCCATCAATGTCCACCTACACGGCTTGAGATGGCTTCATTGTTCGCTAAGCGATTCAAATGCTTTTATTGCGGGCGTCGCTCGGCCCACTCCGACAGCGATACTGCCCGCAAATGGCGTTGCAAACATTGCGAAGCCGTCAACTACCTGGATGAGGTAAGTGCCGTGTTTTGTGTATTCCGGCGTCAAGCAAGATTTCAAGTACTGATTGCCTCGGCGGATGCGCCTCATAGAAAGGAGAAATCACGGATCCTCCCGCTGCAGAAACAAATCCAGACGTCTACGGTCCCGGGGCATCGAGCCCGCCTTTCGAATCCACCGACTTTACAGCCTCCAGCTTATTCTGCGCCCAGTGTCTTCGAAACCAACACCTCTTTACCAGCGCTCTGGCGTCCTATTTTCCATCATCTGATGATCCAAACTACAGCGCATATGAGAAGGAGTACCCCAAATTTCGCAAGAACTTGGAGGAGCGTTATCCGCAGGTGTGCGTCAAATGCGAACCCAGAGTGAAGCAACGCATACGTCAGGCAGGATATGAAGCCAAGTCAGACCACCTGAGACGCATGATGGACCGGAGTAAAGCTGGAAGGGCCGCTCGGCAAGCACGTCGATGGAACTGGAGGAACCTGTTGGTCTTAGCTGGTGCTCTGGGTTATTGGATTAGTGTTGCTGGTCAACTTAGCTGGAATGTGTGGAGTGCTTTGACTGTTGAGGAGTGGGAACCGCTGCAGGATCCAGACTCCCCCTCGATGTCGCCCTCTATTTTCTCTTGCGTGAACCTTCTCTTCGAGACCCGCCGCGTGCCGAACCATTGCTCAATAGACCTGGCACCGTACGCCGGTCTTGCGCTGATTGCGGGAATCCTGTCCATTTGGTGGAACCCGAAATTGCGACTCAAGGTTGAAGGGCGAGGAGGTCGCTTCGTCAAACTAGGAGAGTACTACCAGGTTCAGCTCATTATTTTGGTGGTTCGATGCGCTTTCTGGGGCGTCTTAAGGGATCCGTCATCAAGTGGACTGCCACCAGACCTGCCACCAACATTGCATCTCTTCATGATCTTCTTCACAATTATGGTGAGCTAATCATCTGACAACTATTATCTGAGCCCTGCATGCTAATAATTTCTCAGTCTGTCATGGTCTCCCGGCGGATAGTGCGCTACGATACCCGGCCATTGGTAGACTGGACCGATGACACGCCCGCAGCCACGCCAAACCGCAGAATCGAAGCTTCCCCTCCGCCCTCTACGACTACCGGACAGGAGTTTTCGACCCCAAGCTCCAATCTTCGGCAGCGCACCTCTCGTTTCCCTCTCGAAAAGCTAGGCACTCCAAGGGCGACCACACCGCGGGCAGCCCTCGAGACCCCAACCATTCCCACACCACCTCCAGAATCGGATGACATGGACTGGACTCCCTCCGTGCAGCACGAACTCACACCGACTGTCAGCGTTCATCAAAGGGATCAGAAGTCCGTGCTCGATGGGCCGATGCCTTTCTATGGATCCGTTCCTGCTGCACCACAGCCACCCGCATGGAACCTGCGCAATAAACCCGCGAAGCGTGTGAAACCAATCGAACAAGTCGTTGAACGCAACCCATTCCACCGCACTCCTACTCAAAACCTCCGATGGCATCGCAACCAAAACAGCCCAGACTCGGTGTTTGCACCTCCCAAGTTTTTCCCTGTGAGCGACCATGCTGCGACTACCGGACTCGAAAGTTTGTTTGACCGAACCTTCACTATCAAGTCGCCCGAGGATGAAGACGACAGCTCTTGGCAGTCTCGCCATCAATCATCGAACTCACACTCTCGCCAGTCTGCCAACTTGCGGGGTTATTTTGTGTACCAATATCTTCGATTAGGCCTGCTACTTGTCTCACTCGTTGCCTGGGTCCTTTCACAGTATGACCGCTTGTCAATCCCAGGGAACTATGTAGAGGTGGCCTCCTTGGGCAGTGCTAGCCTGATTGCTGGATTCGCTCTCTTGGAGGCCCTCAAGCAACCTATCGTGCAGTGGAACGGCATGGAAATTCTTGTTTACTTTGCGGAGCTTGTGGCAGCTGTCCACCTCGGCGGGAACCTGCCGCGAGTGTCAATCGAGCGCCATTACTTCGACAGATACGGCCAGCTGCTTCTGGTGTTCATGGCGGTCCAGGAGGCGCTGGGTCTGCTCTCGCTATACAATATAGCCAGGGCAAGCAGCACTGGTCCTCAGCCACAACAATCGGGGCATAACTCGCCATCGAATGGCGAGAATCCCAGGCATTCTCCTCAATTTGCAATCGATAACCAACCCCTGCAATCATTCTCTTCTCAGCGGTCTGCGCCGCCGCTTTCTTTCTCTTCTACTCTCCCTACCTCTAGCTTTGCGGCACAAACGCCGGAGCCGTACTACTCGCTTGCACCCTCCCCATACGACGGTTCCTCCAGCAAGGATCACAGCTTCAGTCTCAAAAGCCTAAAAGGGAACGATTCCGACGCCTCAGATTATTACGATCGAGATTCAGACACGGAGACAACCGTGACTACCGCAACCACTGCTACTAGCAACACCGTGCGGAATATCCGGTACGGACGGGCTGCCAGCGAGGCGATGTTCTCGCCGCGACGAACCGAGCTGGGACCCGGAATTGGAGGGTTGAGTCTCGAAGATAGGCCCGCCCGGCGAGTCACCCGGAGCCAGTCGAAACTCCAAGGCGAGGGCTTTCGTCGGTTCCCGAGTCGGGGCCTGAAATAGGCCTGATTCTGATCTTTCTTGCTTTTGTTAGAATTTTCTTTCTTGTGCTTCTACTTTCGCATTCTGTCCCAGGGTGCATCATCGTCAGTCAGCGCTTGCACTAGAGGAGTTGGGTTAGCTGTGCTTTGATTGTATTCAACTTGTTCACACTGTTCATACGCGGGTCGCATATTGTGGGGATTATTGTACTTCTGTTCTTCGTTTCCTACTTCATCTTAGGTCCTCGTGGAGGTTATTTCGGGTGTTTGGGGGGTTGTACATAGCAGGTAGAATACATACGACTTATGAATGATGACTGAATATTATACAATGTGACTATCCCAAGGTAGATTATGTAGTATGTCGAACTTTTACCTTTCTGTATGTGCATCACAGGTTCTAGTGAGCTGACCAGTAACTACCGTAGCCGACATTGCGTGATTGTCAGCAATTGCATGTTTCAAACCTAACCCAAGACAAGACCGTTATAGTAGATGATAGTGAACCCAGAAAACCAGAAGATGCGAGAGCACATATTCTAGTCTTCATACATAACCGCAGAGTAGTATACATAGCATACAGTAGTCTATAGCAATATAGTAATCTATCGTACATGAAGTAGGCAATGCAATATGAAGTGAAGAGGGTAGTAATCTCGTATCTAGACCCACCCAAGTTTAGTCGCAATAAACCTAGCGAGTTCTTCTATAGTAGCTGCATCCTCCTCCGCCCCCAACTGTTCGTATAGAATCTCCTTCCAGTGGGTCGGTCGGATCTCGTGAAGCTTACGCCCCTTGAGTGCCTCCTGCAGACGGGCAGCTTGCTCCGAGCCGACGGAGGAATCGGACGAGACGGAGATGTGGCTCTCCAGGATGGCCCCGTGTTTGAGGCGGAGAAACACACGTGTCTGTGTTGTTTAATTAGGTTAGTTATCGATTGTTGCTTACTGATGCCAAGAGAAATGGAAAGCGCCATCTTACAGAAGGAGGTAGGGATGATGGAAGGGCGGGGCGTTCGCGAGGGTCCTCTTCCACGGGGTAAGTCGAGAAGATGAATTGGGGAGTTTGCGTGTATTTCCATTCCAGCGACTGTTGCAAATTTTCAATACTGTGTTAGTTTACGGTTTCTTGGCTTTGACTTATCAGGGTATCAAGCAGCGACTCACTCGTAATTCGTCGATGCCTTTCTTGATCTCGGGCTCTTCGTAGCCTTGGGCTTCTCCCACCGCTCCGACGACCCAGTCGTCTCCTGCGTATAGCTCTGCGTCGTGGACATAGGCACGCTGCGCGCGGCGCACAGCATCCGGATTGGTCTGGTATAGCTCTGCAAACTCCGACATGATATTGGCGATCACATCTTGGATTCCGAATGGGATGGAGGCGTCGGCGAATACGGATGATACATTGGCGACGGGGGATCGCACACTTTCCACACCTTTGGCCTTGATGTAGTCTCGTGCGGGCGATCGTAAGAACGAACCGAGGGAGTTGATGTTGGGTGAATCGAGTAGGCAGGTGCCGTGGTGAAGCGCGCGGTGTCGCGTAAGCTTGAACGCTGAGCCGGAGATCTTTCGAGGTTGGGATTGCCCTTCGTCAAGGGACATGACGATGTCGTGGCGGTCATTGACGCTGGTAGCTGTCGCTCCGACACGGTGCAATGCGCGCACGACCATCTCCGCATGTTTGTTGCGTGTGAATGTCGGTCGCGGGGAGATCACGCTGTAGTTGAGGTTGCCCTCGTCGTGGAAGACGGCACCACCGCCAGACCGTCGCCGGACGTAGAGCGCATCTTCGGTATCGTTGTAGGTGTGGATTCCGTGCTCCGCGGTTCCGCGGTCATTATGTAGCACTCGGAGGTTGGTCTCGAGCCATGGGTTCTGATTGCGCCCGATTACCACGCACGGTCGGTTGATATATAGGAAGAGGATGCTCGAGTCGGCGGGCGCATGCTCCAACAGAAAGTGTTCGATGGAGAGGTTCACGTAGGGATCGGTGGAGAGAGATTGGTAGATTTGATGCCGGGAGGACTGGCGACTGGCGAGCTGGGCGAATTGGTCGGCGGAGAATGAGGAATTCCACCGCACGGCATTAGAACGCAGGCTGGCGC